TGTTTTTTTTAATTTTATCAGATTTAAATGTTTATGTATCTTTAATTTAGTTTTCGTTTTTTTTTCCCTGAAGCATGTTGGTGTTTTTGTTGTCTGATTTATTCTATGCTTAGCTCAATTTAAAATCGAAAAATTATAATAAGACAATAGATCTCATTTTTAGTTTTTAGCTTGATGTTTCAGATATATTTTTTCATGAACATCGATAAGTTGTTTGTATTCGATTTTAAAGCGTTTATTGTCGTCCAATTCGCAATTTAATCTCATATGTTATGTAGTTGTAGTTTCCTATACATGCATGGTAATTATAGATTTGGAAAAATTTTCTATTTTGATTTATGTGCTGGAACTATATTATTATTTTATCTTTGCTGGCTGATTTGATTTAATAGTTTGTGCATATCATACTATGCTTCTATTTCCTTTTTGTTGATAACTACAAAATGTTTAAAGCAAGGACGTCTACGGTCTGATTATATTGCAAGTGTACTCAATTAACCTGTGAATTCTTGATGGCGTGATGAAGCATACATTTCCACCTTCAATTCTATAGAAGAAGCTTATGTTTAGGACCCCTCAAATTAGTGTGATGAACTTGTATGCGAATGGTTTGTATTAGGGTGAAGTATGGGACTAAACTTGAAAGGTCCCTTAGTCCCTTGCATATCACTGCTAAAGATCACAACTGAACACAGAACATCCTAAGCTTGTATGAACTTATTTATGTTCATTTCTTTAAATGTGTTGACCATCTTAACCAAGTAGCAGAGGTGGTATAAATCTTTATATTTCATTATTTGTAGTGAAACTGCTTTCCAGGCTAAAACATTTCGTTTTTTGATGTGTTTGTGGAGGTCAGGTGGTTTAGTTTTATCAAAAAAAGATGGGAGGTGGGTTTAGAGTGCTCCATCTGGTCCGACCTTTTCTGTCATTTCTGCCTGAGGTTCAGAGTGCTGACAGGAAAATTCCATTCAGAGAAAAAGTTATATACACTGTAATCTCCCTCTTCATTTTCCTGGTTTGCAGCCAGCTCCCATTGTATGGTATACACTCCACAACAGGGGCAGATCCTTTTTATTGGATGCGTGTCATTCTTGCCTCAAACCGAGGTACTGTCATGGAGCTTGGAATCACACCCATAGTGACATCGGGATTGGTCATGCAACTTTTAGCAGGTTCGAAGATCATTGAAGTTGATAACAATGTACGGGAGGATCGAGCCCTGCTGTAAGTATACTAAGATTCTCAGGATATTTATTTCTGACTTTCTATCATGCTTTCTTGGAATACCTGAAATAGAAGAACTTTAAATTTCCTGCGTTAATCCTTTTCAAGAGCCATCTAAAATTCGTAGTTTTGATACATTCTTAACTAGAGGAGTTGTGCTCCATTTACCTCATAAAACGAATGTTGTTGTGCTTTAGTATCCTGAGTATTTCAAAACACAAATAAAATCTTTATTTCCTTATTCTGTGTAATTACCATTTATCAAGTACATTTTCACTGTGTTGTAAACGAGGATCCCTTTTTGTCTTCCAGAAATGGTGCACAGAAGTTACTGGGTATCTTGATCGCGGTTGGTGAGGCAGTTGCTTATGTTCTCTCTGGAATGTATGGCAGTGTTGGCCAACTTGGAGTTGGAAATGCAGTCCTTATAATTCTCCAACTCTGCTTTGCTGGTATAATTGTAATCTGCTTGGATGAACTTCTCCAGAAAGGATATGGCCTGGGCTCTGGAATTTCACTTTTCATAGCAACCAATATTTGGTAAGTATTTATGAATTTGGTCTATTCTGCGTTCACTGGTTTTGTCTGAGCTGCATGATGATCGCTCAAGAGTTATTTGATTTGACAGTGAAAATATCATCTGGAAAGCATTTAGTCCAACTACTGTGAACAGCGGGCGTGGAGCTGAATTTGAAGGTGCTGTTATTGCTTTATTCCATTTGTTGATTACTCGAACAGACAAGGTTCGTGCCCTTCGAGAGGCATTCTACAGGCAGAATCTTCCAAATGTTACAAACTTGCTTGCGACCGTGTTAATCTTCCTTATAGTTATCTACTTCCAAGGATTCCGTGTGGTTTTGCCTGTGAGGTCAAAGAATGCCCGTGGGCAACAGGGTTCATATCCAATTAAGTTGTTCTACACTTCCAATATGCCTATTATTTTACAGTCTGCACTCGTGTCCAATCTTTACTTTATTTCCCAGGTACTGGCCTTTGTTAAAATGAACAAATTATAAATGCTTTCTTTCTTTACGATATTGACAATGATACCCTCCTTTCTTTTGTACTCTTACAGTTGCTGTACAGGAAATACAGTGGGAATTTCATTGTTAACCTCTTGGGGAAGTGGAAGGAATCTGAATATTCTGGCCAATCTGTGCCTGTTGGGGGTCTTGCTTATTACATCACTGCACCGTCAAGGTTCCCTTTCTCACCTTTTCTACCTACTCTTCATTTCGCTTGTGTCTATTTCAATGGGTTACCTTATTTGGTTTTGTCTCACTGTAGTCAGTACTGTTTACTGCTTTTTCAGCTTGTCAGATATAGTGGCCCATCCTTTCCATGGACTGTTCTATATCGTGTTTATGCTGTCAGCATGTGCCTTGTTCTCAAAAACGTGGATTGAGGTTTCAGGATCCTCAGCTAAAGATGTTGCTAAACAACTGAAGGTATAATTCTTGTATAATTTAAAAGCTGAACATTTAGATTCTTGGCAATCCATGAATTTTCAGAAAAGAGTTGCAGAGTTCCTGCTTAATTCTCTCTCACTAAAATCTTTAAGGAAATTGATGCTCCCTAAAGTAAATTTTTTTGTTACAAGCAAGCAAAGATGTTTAAATTAGACGTTGATGATAAATAGATGTATCCTACTTGTATCCTATGTTCATGTTCCTATTAGTTTGCCAGCACTGTATACGTTTAGCTTCTATGAATTGGAAAGACCTTGCCAGTATACGTGTTATGTGGGATTACAAACTTCATTATCTTTTTATTAGTGGTGTTCACGATTCGATGCTATGATGCAGGTGTTAATGTGTTATTGTTGACCATAATGAGAATAGTGCCCCCGTTTGCCCTCATTTTTTCCAAATTTTAATGTTTGGAATAGTATTTTTTTAAAGAATGTGTGGTTCAAAAAAATGATTTTTATTTTTATTTTTTATTTACGTGTAATATTATTTTATGGAAGATCGTGTGATTGAAAATAAGAGATATGAAAAAAAAAAAAGAAAGAGAATCGGCGCCAAACGGGGGTAGTATCTTGCAATTGTTCCACGTCTAATAGTAAATTGCCTTTTATTTTGTATAGATGGTTTTGCTCCACTAGATTATGATTACTATTGAGCAAGGATGTTCTTTTCAGATGAACGTACAGAATGTCGTCGAGTTTTAAAACTGATGGGTAGATAACTTGAGTTTAATGTTGTTAGTACTTCGTTACTAGGAAATATAAATTTGTGTTAACGAGTACAGATCTAACCGTCGGAAAAGAAATGAGCATATTTTCTCAACTAATGTATTTTCTTTCCATTATATTTCAGGAACAACAAATGGTGATGCCTGGACATCGGGAATCAAATCTACAGAAGGAGCTGAACCGCTATATACCCACCGCAGCAGCCTTTGGGGGTATGTGTATTGGAGCACTGACTGTTTTGGCAGATCTTATGGGTGCAATTGGTTCAGGAACTGGAATTCTACTGGCTGTGACCATCATATACCAGTATTTTGAAACATTTGAGAAGGAAAAGGCTAGTGAGCTTGGGTTCTTTGGTTTCTAAGCCTCTCTTGTACTTTGGTTTGGAAGATTTCATATTTTGTAAGGTGGGAGATGTAAGTGGACAAATCCAGGAACATAGGTAGGTAGTATTTTCTTTTTTCTCTTTTCATCATGCAGTTTTGGGATGTTGGATACTTTGGGAACATGGACTGTCTGAAAACAAGTCTGAATTAATTTTCTTTTTGAACATTGTCTTTGAGTTAATTGAAACAATCGTGACTTTCTATTGAAATCTTTGATATGGGTTTCGGTATTAAGAGGAAAATGTTTGCTTTCTGATATATTTCAGAGCAAAACTATCAAGAGTGATGCTTGCATGAATAAAGAGATTGTCAAAGATTCAAAATAATTGTATTATTAAAAAGATGGTTCGGGATTTAATCTTATGCTTTCCATATAAATCTGATATTAGAGTAGTTATAATCGAGACTTTGAAACTCTTGCCTCGCGTCTTGGAAGAATTTATGACACGATGGATATCATACAGAGATTACATGGTTAAATGCAAGGTTTACAATATACAAATATCTTACAAGCTTCAAATATTTTGTATATACCTGTTGTTGAAGAGTTGTGTCGACTATTTGCCAGATTGTGTCGGGTCCTTTTCTAGGGATTCAAGAGACTTAATTTTCGCCAAATTGTAAGAGAGAACTTCGTAAATATATTCTTGAATTAGCCCTTCAACCCCATTAACAGCCTAATGACGGATGAGAAAGATACAGAGCCTGTTGCAACTGATGCTACCCAGCGATCCAATAATCAGACGGTGGTTTGTTAATGCCTAATGGTCCACTGAAAGCTTGCATATTTTCTGAATAGAAGTTGAAATATAACAAATACAAAAGAGTTTCGGGAGAAGCTTCAAATGATTGCTCCGTTGTATCGTTTCTTGAATGCTTTAATTCCTACAAGGGCTTTCTTCACCTCAACTCAGAATTCTCCCTTCAACACTCAATTGCAGCTCAAGAATATTAACAAACCTAGTTGTTTCAGAAGTTGCATTGCCCGCTTAAAGGTAATTTTTTCAGATTATCCAAGAGTTTGTTTGATATACAGTAGTACTAGACAACTCTATTCTGGACTAAACACTAGACGGGTTTTATTTATTTTTAGCTTAAACCAATCACTGAATGTTATTGGTTTCTTTTGCAGGCATTGTTGTGCACTTGAAGAACTCTGTCTCATAATATATCCTGTATTTATTGTGTTGGGAGTGACAAGAGAATGGCTTAAAGATACCGTGTCAAAATATTGGGAGACAAAAAGAGACTGGAGGATGTGTAGTTTGTGCTATGGAAATAAAAGTATGTAATCTTTGGATGAATAAAAATACTACTAAAGAACCCTTTTATGATGTTATGAATTATATTCGTCCATTTTTGTTTTCTTCAATTGTAGTTTGGTTTTACATAGAAATTTTGTGACAAAAGAAGAATTATAGACCTTGTAGTTTGAGTCCACTGATTGAAGTACGATAGTAGAAAAATTAGTTGTTATCGTCCTTCTAGCGCCCGATGAAGGCCTTTCCGGATCTAAGTTGGCCAAACAAGGGCCTATTCACCAGCCTCAACTTGACTCATCTTTACACCTCGAATAGTAAATGTTGTTTTGGCATGGACAACTATCTATTCCATCTTTACACCTATGTATTGTACAGTTGTTTGTTAATCGGATATCTTCTTCACGTACTTTGAGAGCTAAAGAATTAACGCATTCAAGAAATTTGAATGGAACAGTGACTGGTCAGCCAAAGATAGTCTGTGTAGCTAGCAAAAAGAATTTCAGTCAGCTCATTCCGATAAAGCCTCAGATATGCTTTTAGTTTTAAAGTTACTGCAGATTTATCATTTAAAATTGATAGTTTCATACTATAATGAACTCTTCTTGTCTGTCTTTTATAGCTTGAATTAGATTCTCCACTCCCATCAAAACGATACAACGGAGCAAATTGTCTAAAATAGCTTATTCAAAATAACAATAACTTGAACCATTGGCCTTCCAATTTAAGGCTCAATGACATTGGATCATTACATTCCGAGGCTCTTAAGAAAAGAACATAGGAAACTTGTATAGCTACATTCTCCCAAGTTGCATCTTCAGAAAATGAGTTGGACTAGCCAATGATTGCTTTGTTTCACCACTGGCCTATCTGAAACTGTAGCTGTCCATCCTCATTAATTGTTGGTAACTTCATCCATTATATAGTTAGCTTGACGATGATTAATTTGAATATGTATGAGTCTTTGATCTTGATCTCGTGACAACGGAAAAAAGAAATGAAACGCAAGAACGAAGCTAGTAATATTAAGTGAGAAGGATGAAGACATAATTTCTAAAAATGTCAAATTGCATATATTCTAATCTAATTATTCTGGAATACATGAACAGTTCATGTGTTGACAAATCATGCATCCATACACAAAATTGGTTGTTTAGATACTCGTGGCCGCTAACTAAACTTGTCTCTGTTAATTTCATAGAGACATTATTAATTACATCCTTATTACAAAATTGATTTAAGCAGCACAGATTGGTGGATTCTGTTTGCCTACGAAAGTAGGCTTGATGTTGGCACATTTAGTGGTGATAGGCCCTTCGGTTCCACTGTATGCAAGATCAATATCTCCGATCTCCACATTTTTGCAAGGTTTGGCTTTGCTGCAAGAAAACTGCATTGCCACCGGAGTTTTTGAGGTGCCCTTAATGTTTTTTACGGTCATTTGATTGACTTGAATGAGAGATGGAGACTGTATATAAACACAAAAAAGAATTCAGTTAATCATAGCTGAAACCTATAATTATTTGCAGAGTTTGAATTTAACTTACGCCTAGCTTGCACTGGTTATACGGACAATATTCCTGATCAATGATAATAGGATTCTCAACATTGTCCATAATAATATCTTCGTAATGCAGATCTGTTATCTTGAGTTTTGCTGGGGCAGAAGGCCATGTTTTGACTCTAATGCCATTTTGGGTGCCAATGAATGTGCAATTCTTGACATAAATGCCGGTCACATCTTCTTCCGTCTCGCCTCTACCAAGACTTCCTACGCTAATACCGTGGCCTGGCCCGCAAGTCACCTTTTCGATATGGAGTTCTTTCATGCCATCACCAATGGAGATGCAATCATCTCCGGTTTTGATGACGCAATCTGTGACTTTAATCCTTTCGGACTTTGCGATGTGGATTCCATCTGTATTAACACTATCACCCGGCGCACTCACGGTAAACCGTTGGAACGTAACATTCTTACACCCTATCACATTGACGTGAAAATTTTTGCTGTCTTTAGTCGTCACATCATGAATGATTGAGTTGGTGATGAAATTGAAGCTGAGATTCTGTATACATGAAGTTGATTAATTACTCAATTCAATTCGGAAAACTTACACACACACACACACACACACACACACACTTACTATTGGAAGTTTAGCACATTTTGGGTTTTTCCCACAATCGTTCTTGGTCCACGCATTTTTACCATTGCCATCAAAAACTCCACCACCTCTTATTGTCAAGTGGTCGACGTAATTTACAGTGATCCATTCGGCGCCCTTGTCGGGCAAATTAGTATAATCTGAAGGAGCTTCAATTGTGCCCTGGACTCGAAGCTCGATGGGGGCTTTGCAGGGGCCTACTAATTTTATTTGATCCAACTTGAAAGTGCCTTTTGGTACCACAACTGTGCTCGGAGTTGTATCTGCACATGCCTCCTTCCAAGCGCTCGATAAAGCCTAACATATATATTTAGAAAACGAACAAGAAAATATAACTGTACGAATATGACGTGTAGCAGTCGGTATATATACCTTTGCTATATTTGCATCGGGTTTCCCACCATACTTTCTGATATCAAAAGGTTTAGGCGGGTGGGCATTCACTGCCAACACTGTGAAAAACAACACTATGAATCTCGAAGCCATCTCGATCTCTTACAGTCTAACAATATATTTTTAGACCAATTTATAAGGTGGAGGAGGAACTTCAGTGCCACACATATTCCTACAAAACTTCAAATGTTGTGGCCAAACATGCTTCTTCTTCGCCAACAAACTACCAACGCAATCGGGGTAAGCAGAGACCCACAATGTCTTATTCACTAACGTTGAATTATTCAATTTCTTATTCATCATTGCACGCTGTGGATTTTTGTGCACACAGGGAGATGTCCTTTTTGAAAAACGTAGGGGTAGAAATATTGTATAAATTTAATAATTAATTCTGAAATCAAATATATTTAAAATCTAATTGGTTGTTTTCCGTTCCCCAAGATCAAACACTGATAAATTTTCTGCACATACAAAATAATCATCGTCAAGCTCATAGCTTTATAATTCACCAGGATGGAGAATTACAACTTAATTTTAGATATATATGACAACCTGCAATAGAAAATAATATTTTCATTGCACATATACGAAGTAAAATATTAATGATGATATTATGAAAACTTCTCCAAGATAGAATATACATAGAGCCTATCATGTGTCATAGCAGACATGCTGTCAATAATGAAATAAAATTATAGATAACATGGCATACGTATTGACTGTAATGAAAATAATATTATGACATACTAACAATGTTGTGACGGCATACTTGGTAGCAATAATATAATGCATATGCTAGTGATAACAAAGTAATGATACTAGCATACTAGTATCACAATTAATTATGTGGCATGCTTAGACGAATGGGGTTTCATAAATGTCGACGTGACATTGATTATTCAATTGATTGGGCCTATTTAATTAAATAATCTTGTCTTGTGCTTGGTATTCGATCCATTGGCCCACTCAAGCCCATATCCATTTCTCTCTATATACGTAAATCCATTTCACATAAGGTATGCTATTCTAACCCTAGACAAATCATCTTATCCCGTCTTTTGCACTCATATTATTTCTCATCCCGTTGACTTTATCGTCGGAGTGCAAATGATCGTTGAATCTTTTTCGTGATCGACGATCTTTGCTTCCTAATTGTTCGAGTGACGTCCATGTGAAGGGGAGGTGGTCGAGATTCTATTGTTACATTTTGCAAGACGCTGCTTCATCGCCATTGCCTTTTTCCCTCTTTTTTTCCCCATAATCTATGGTTTTGGATCGGTGGTTGTCGTTGTCGCTGGTAGTGCGGTGTGGTTGGTGGGTGTTGTGAGTTGTGCTGGTGTGGTTTTTGCATTGGTGTGGTGCGTGGTGGTTGCGACTGCATGTGAATAATCCCTGTTAGTGTTGTAATTGCTGTGGTGTGTGGTGATCGTGGCAGTAGTGGTTTTGGATGAGGTCGTGGCGATGGTGTGGTCATCTTGCATGGGGATGGGATGGAATGGGGTAGGGTGGGGATGTTTGTGACCAATTATTTGGTTATTTGTGATCAATAAATAATATATGACCTAAAAATATAATTCAACTCACAATTTATTAAGTGGTGATCGAGAAATAACTTGTGATCAATTAATATGATAGTTTGTGACCGTTATAATCATAAAATTTGTAATTTATGATTGATAAATATATTGTGATTAATAAAATTTTTAATTTTTTGATCAAGGAATAAATTGTGAGCTATAAAATTATTGATTTGACTAGTTAATTCGATAATTTGTAACCAAATTATAAAGAATTGTGATTTTAATATATTTAATTAATTATTTCATAAATAAAATTTATATAATATCTAATTTTTGAAGTTTTATATCTTATTTTTTAGTTTTGAAATGGGTCATACTTAATCTTTTAAATATGAAACTTTTCCATTTTTTT